ACACGTGTGGCAGTTATCGGGACCCTAGATTTTTAGGCTACCCCTACGAATTGCGAAACTGTTGTACCTTGGTTGATTGAGAATTGGTTATTTCTATGCAAGACGAAGACCATCTAAAAGACCAACCAATATGAACTTGCGTTCATGATTTTATCAAAAACCCAACTCAAGAGTTGTGGGCCGAGGCATTCTTGTCGGCGAAATGGGGATTAACATTGTTGTGTCAAATTGCCGGCAAAATGCATATCACATGCGCAAACGGTTCTATTTGGGATTTCAATATAAATATGATGTCATATTTTTAGGGCTAAAAATATGACGCCTCAGATATGTCGGATCCCGATCGCATCCATAGCAATCAATAGTTGCAGCTTGGCAATTTTTCTGTTGATTCTTTACGCTACATGACAACACAGAACATGACAAAATCCTTACACACAAGCATGGTAATTTTATCTGTTTTCGCATGGCAAATCTGATTATCAGCTTTTGTAAACATTCTCATTTATTTATGGTTTTGTTTGATTTCTTAAACTTGTTTTAACAAAAACAAAAACAAAAACACTTTTAAAATACAATTTATGAAATAAAGAAAAAAACTAAGGTTATTGGGCTGTGGGCGCCCGGTAGGCGTGGACCTTTTACTATTTGACGCTCGGGGGTGATCAGCATTAACCGCCTGAGACCGTGTGCGCGTAAATCTTAAGCAGCGCTCCGCTTACATGCCAAGCTAAAAAAACACCTCACGCAACACAATATAATCCCCTCCCAAATAGGGAGCAACCCGGAAAAACGCGAACCGACTCTAGCTGAAGCAGCTCTCCTCGCCATCGATCCTTCTCGATCTGCTCCGATGGCCGACGCCGGCGCCGCCAAGCCCGAGCCGGAGAAGAAGTCCTGGGCCGACGTCGAGGAGGAGGAGGAGGCCAAGGCCAAGGCGGAGGCGGAGGCCGAGCTCGCCGCCGCCGCCTCATCCTCCTCCTCCGCCGCCCCCATCGAGCCGGTGGTTGAGGCTCAGGCGAAGCAGATCGAGGCGCTCTCGCTCTCCGTGCCGGACGACGACGGCGGCGCCGAGGGCCCGCCCCTGCTCGACGACTCCGACGACTCCCAAATCCAAGCCGTACGCGCTCCGCTCTGCTCCCCGCCGCCGCCCCTGTCCAGTGGCCTCGATGTCGGCCGGCTGATTCGGTGCTTTGCTTCTCCAGGTGACCTCGGGCGGCACGGTGTACGAGTCGGCGACGACCTTCGAGGACGTGAAGCTCACCCCCGAGCTGCTCAAGGGGCTGCACGACGAGATGGGGTTCAGCCGCCCCAGCAAGATCCAGGCCATCACACTCCCCATGATCCTCACGCCGCCCTACAAGGACCTCGTCGCGCAGGCGCACAACGGCTCCGGCAAGACCACCTGCTTCGTCCTCGGCATGCTCAGCCGCGTCGACCCCAACCGCAAGGTCCCCCAGGCCATCTGCATCTGCCCCACCAGGGAGCTCGCGCAGCAGGTAGGTCTCTTGACTTGATCCTCCATACACTCCCACGCTCTGATATGTGCTCTCATCTGGTTATTGGATACAACAAACTGCAGTGGGGAGCTTGATTCTGCTAGTTTTATACCCTGTAATGTAATGTACTGATTTTGATTGGTTGGTCTGTGCAGAATAAATCTGTGCTCATGAGGATGGGCAAGTTTACCGGCATTACCTGTGCCTGTGCAATCCCGTCGTCTCAGAAAGAATATATGCCCATCAGCAAAATGGCTCCGGTGACCGATCAGGTGGTGATTGGCACTTCTGGGACGCTCACCAAGTGGATTACCCATAAGAAGCTTGCGACTAGGGAGATCAAGATTCTTGTGTTCGACGAGGCAGATCATATGCTTGCCGAGGTACAGTTTAGTTCTCTTGTCTTACTGTTAGTTTAGTGTTATATTAAGACACATGCTAACAGTGAAGCGAGAAGGATAATAAGGTCCATACTCATTACCAAGTGTTTTCCGGGCAACTTACTGTTAGTTTAGTGTTAAGACACACGCTAATAGGGAAGGGAGAAGGATAATAAGGTCCATACTCATTACAGGAGTTATTTCTCAGCTGCAAACAATAATGGCATTGACAGCAATATTCATTCGAGTCTTCATGTCCTTGTAAGAAATACAGTAGAACAGATGTTTCTTAGCAGCAAACAATGAGAGTGTTTTGAGGTTAAGTCCCTTAGACCTTCCCCTTCATAGCCATCAGATGTACGTCGATAACTATCCGCAAGAAGCAAATCAGTGGCACTTACTTGCTAGGCTTGCCACTAACTTGCTTCCTCTGGGTAGGTAACTTTCTTGTGGCTTAATTGAAATTGAAATTGAAATAACCTTAGTCAAGTATGAGTCAGTGGATCAGAGTATGAAAGAATGCGGCCTGTATAGTTTGTACTCCTGATATCCTAGTGGGCATTAAGGGGTGTCATCATGGTGCAGTCGTGTTATGTTAGGTGTGATGACCGAAAACTCTTGGCATCTGTTTGGTCTGAGTGGATAAAAGTAACAGAAAAAGCATCTGTTTTCCAAGGACATAAATTATTATGGAGTTCCCAACAGTAGAAATATTCATCTAACTGGAACCAAAATTTGAGGCGCTCAAAATTCCGACGTAGCGGGCTCATGTAAACTAGTTGCTTTTATGATTGAATGAGTCCAGTTTCTTATCCTGTTGAATGCTTCTTGCAGGAGGGCTTTAAAACTGATTCTTTAAGGATCATGAAGGATATACAAAATAGTGCTGGTGGCTGTCAGGTAACCGTTTTTTTAGTGAACTGACTACTTTTGACTGTGGCAGTAGAATCACACACAACAGCTTGCACCTTGGTTACATTTCAAAATCAGATGTGAGTATTTTGAATGTTGGGACTTGGTAGGCTATTAAGGGAGACAACCTGTTCCTATGCTTTGTATGTGCTCATGTCCTGCTTGTTGAACTTATTATCAATTGCTAATGATAGGTAGAGGCTTTGGAAAAGGGTCATTTTCTTTATGCAGTGGGTTGTATTCAATTTGGAAGTTTTTTCGATTGTGATATTCATTTTCTTTATTTTGGAAGGCTGCATGTTCATGCATGGGGCATCTGAAGTTGATAATTTTAGGAATAGAAAGAAACATATACTATTGTATGTTCTATGTAATTGGTTAATTGCACATTTGGGCACTCCTATTATCATAATCTTATACCCAATCCGCTGATGTTATTGCCCTAGTTTTTTCAAGTTCATCCATTGATGGTGTTGATATACTTTCAGTCCTCAACTAGCCTTGTCCATGTGGTGCATAATCTTTTGTGATGCTTGTAACTGTCAGTGTAATTCCATGGCTGTGCCATTCAACTAGCCTTGGCTATATCATTCCTAAATTCTTGGTTAGATGTGATTGTTTCTGTTTTCATATGGTGCCTCTTTTACTTATTTTAATTCTATTTATAACAGGTGCTTCTCTTCTCTGCGACCTTCAACGAGAAAGTGAAGGAATTTGTTACAAGGGTCATTAAGGACGGAAACCAAATATTTGTGAAGAAGGAAGATCTTACTTTGGAAAAAGTAAAGCAATATAAAGTCCGAGTCCCTGATGAGGCGGCCAAAATAGAGGTTATAAGGGACAAGATCTTTGAGTTTGGGCAAAAGGTTGGACAGGTTATCATCTTTGTGAGAACAAGAAATAGTACTAAGAATGTACATAATGCTTTGACAAAAGAGGACTATGTGTGCTCCTCAATTCAAGGATCCCTTGACCAAGCAGAGAGGGAAAAAGTAATTCAGGAATTCAAAGATGGGTACACCAAGGTTCTTATATCAACTGATGTTCTTGCTCGTGGGTTTGACCAAGCACAGGTACTATGCCCGCTGTGCTATTTTGACACACCAGTATAAATTTTCCTCCTAACATTCTTCCTTTGAAAGGTTAACCTGGTCATCAACTACGACATGCCAATCAAGTATAATACGAGAGATGAACCTGATTATGAGGTGTACCTGCACAGAATTGGCAGAGCTGGGCGCTTTGGCCGAAAAGGTAAATTTGTGTCTTATCAGTCTATGTACATACACCACTGTAAAGCATATTTTGTCAACGCCGGGACAAACATTAATGCTGTTATCATTGATAAGCAAGCACGCTACATTTAGTTAGTCCTGATGCCTGTTTGTCCTAGCCTAAGATTGAACTTGTCGGCAGAACTAGTCTTCTGCAAGTAGGATTTTGCAATAGGATTTTTAGCTTCCTTTATTAGGATAAGATAGAACTGATGTGACCATTGTTTGTTGTTTATTGGCGTCATGTTTGTTCGTTTTCGTTTTTTCTTGAGAAGTTGTGATCTCCTATTTCTGTAGACTGTCAATTGATTTGCTTTGATTGTTTTCATGATTTATCAGTTTGAAACATAAGTTTTGTTATGCCAGTTTATCAGCTAATCGCTGTTGAGTAGAGTGCTTATCTTGTGGCCTAACTGAATTTTCGCTGGTGACAGGAGCTGTGTTCAACCTGCTATGTGGTCAAACTGATGAAGCTGTGATGACAAAGATCGAGGACTACTTCCAGCACAAAGTGCCTGAGGTCCCCAACTGGAAAAGCGAGGACAATTTTGAGACTGCTCTTAAGGATGCGGGTTTACTCGAGTAAACGTTTCCTGGCAGAAATAGGTGGCGGCAAATGCGCGCTTATTTGATTATCTTGTCACCAGCACTTGGGTTCTTTCCTTTGCACCAGATGCTTGTGTCTGGAGTGGATTATGCTGAGCTGATGCGATGAATTCTATGAGAGAGTGTGTCCATTTTTATGCTCGTTCGTTTGAGGTTTTCAAGTCTTCTTCACACACGCCCATGTAATTTCCTTTGAAAATTCATTTGTATGTTACTTGTGCTACGAGATGCGTACCGCATGTGTACAGATTGATCGCAATTGGCAGTTACAAGATTCACTCCCATGTGTGAGAATGTACATGATTTCCTCCTTGTGTAACTCAAAACAGTTACAAGTTGTCGTGCTCGATGACCTGCGCCCCCCTCCACTCCTCGCCGGGGCCAACGACGACGGGCACGAGGATGGACGCCGGCCCGGTGCAGAGGAAGTAGTCGTTGCCGAACTTCTCGTACAATCCTCCCGGGCTGCTCAGGTACAGGTCCTCGAACCCCATCCTCACAAGCCTGAACCCGAGCCCGCTAGACTGTCCAAGCAAATCACAAAGCATATCATCACTGAGCAATGCGGCTGACGAATGATGATCATTCATGCACGATGGATGCATCCCAAGGAGACGAACGAACCTGGTCGATGGTGGTGAACTTGGAGGGCGCGGTGCTGTAGATGCGCTTCTTCCTCTCCTCCGGCGGCGCCGCGTACACCCTGCTCACCTTCTTCTTGAGGATGGTGTAGAGGTTCTCCTCCACGGTCCAGGCGCCCTGCCTCGGCTCCTCCCCGCCGCCGCCGCCAAACCACCCGGACTCCTCCCGCTTCATGGCCTCGGCGGGGGTGAGCAGCGCGAACCCGGACGCCGGCGGCGGGTGGGAGCAGTAGGGGCAGCCGCGGAGCCCCTCCACGGCCGTGCCCCGCCGCTTGTCGAACTTGATGTGGCTCAGCACGGCGCCCGTCAGCTCCACCGGCTTGGCCCCGTTGTTCTTGACGATCACCGCCGTCGCCATGCTCAGCGGGTACAGCGTCACCACGTACGACACCTCCAGCTTGGCCCCCTTGGCGCCGCCCACGCCGCACCCGAGCTCCACCTGCACCGCGTCGTACGAGTCCGAGTCCACGTCCGTCACGGACCACTCCGACGCGCCGAGCAGCGACGACGAGGAGGAGGCCTCGTTGAGCACCAGCCCCACGCCGCCCTTGACCGCGCCGGCGCCGGCCACGGTGTGCAGCAGCTCCCGGCAGCCGTCCCCGCCCTCCCAGGACACCTTGGGCCGGTACGACGTGACCAGCCCGTCGTTGAGCCGGAGCTGCAGCGAGCTGCCGTTGCGCACGCTCAGCTCCGCCGTGGGCGCGCCCGTGGCGTCCGTCCCGAACCTCAGGCCCTTCCGGCCGAAGGTCTCCTCCAGCTGCGACGTCTGCGTAGTAGCGGCGGGCACCGTCGACGCGACGCCCGAGGCTGCCCTCGCGGCCACGGTGGCTGGCCTGGGGGAGGCCGGGAGGTGGAGCGGGAGGAAGGAGGAGGCGGCCATCGGAGCTAGCGCTGGAGCGAGTGATAGCTAGCAAAGAAGGGGAAGGTGCTTCCCTTCCCCTTGAGGCTGGAGGCCGATTGGGTGTCACTGCAGCCTCATATCAGCCGGCTTGAGGATAGGTGGCTCTCTCGCTCCTTGTCCGTGTCCTCTCCTTGCTCTGCTGCGACCGGGAGCCTGCCTGCCTGTCTACGGTAGCAACAGCTTGGTACCGGAGGAATGAGCATGCAGAAAAGAACATGATCTTTGTTTTCGCAATTCAGAAACATGTACTCCCTCTCTTCCTAAATATAAGTCTTTTTAGGGATTTTACTATGGACTACATAGGATATACTCCCTCCGTAAACTAATATAAGAGCGTTTAGATCACTACTTTAGTGATCTAAACACTCTTATATTAGTTTACAGAGGGAGTAGTTCAGAGTGCTGATTCACCCACTTTGCTCTGTATGTTGTTTTTTATTGGAATCTCTAGAAAAAATTATATTTAGAAACAGAGGGAGTATGTTTCAGCTTTTATTCAGAGGGACTCTGAGGCCGATGCTAATTCATGAATGTTCGCGTTGATAGGAGTTTACCTATAGGAACGGATCTCAAGTGAGAGTTCGACAAGTATATGTACACGTTCGCAACAACAACAACAAAAAGACAAGTATATGTACAGTGATAGACTGTATACAATATCATGATGTTGTAGATACTACTACATTAAGGCGTTAAAACAGAACTGTACGTACAAGTCAGGATGGCCGAGTGGTCTAAGGCGCCAGACATAAACCAGGACTAAAGGGTCAATATATAGTTCCGGTTTGTATCACAAACGGGACTAAAGGGCAATTTTCAAACTCTACCTCCCCTCCTCATTGTCTTTTCTGTTTTAAAAAAAAAACAAAAGAAAAATGATAAAAATTTCAAAAATTAAAATCCTTTGAGATGTAGTTATGTTTCTACATCTAGTAGTTAGGGAAATTTTAAAACATAAATTTTGACATGGTTTGCAAAAAAGTGTTATGAAAAAGTAAAACGACCATATATTTTGCATACGATGTCAAAAAAACGCATAATATATAAAAAAAATCAGCACGAAAATCCGCATCCGATTTCGACGGCCATAGGTCGTTTTGCACATTTTTAGAATCCTCAAATTCTTAAAGGAAAAAAAGTTATGCTCAAATTTCAGTTTTCTGAATTTTGTTAAATCTGGTCAAACTGTGGTCAAGCTACTTATTCAAGAAATATTAGTGTTACTAAATAATTATTACAGTTTTTTTTGAATTTTGGTCAAACTATGGTCAAATTTGGTCAAACTATGCTCAAACTACTTATTCAAGAAATATTAGTGTTACTAAATAATTAATGTTTTTAGAATAATACTCTCAAACTCAAATGGTGAAACGTGTGACTTCATGCTCAAACTAAACTCCTGAGGGTTAATAGGATTGACAGCTTACTATTGTCAGGTAAATAACAAGTGCAGACTTGGAAATTAGGGAGAATAGAACTGGGAAGTTAAGCATGGTCGGACTGGAGTAGTGAGAGGATGGGTGACCGGTCGGGAAGTTAGACGATTTGAAATGATGAGAGATGATTAGAGATTAAATCATCAAATAATTCAGAAATTAGAAAATTAGAAAAAAAAAGTCATTTTTTTCAAAAATAAATAAAAAAACTTTTAGTCACGGTTGGTGTTACCAACCGAGACTAAAGGTCCCCCAGCCCCCCGGCGCGGGCTCAGGCCATGTGGTGGGCCATTAGTGCCGGTTCGTGCTGAACCGGGACTAAAGGGGGGCTTTAGTCCCCACCCTTTAGTGCCGGTTTCAGAACCGGCACTAAAAGGGTCTTACGAGACGGGCTACAAAAATGAAAGACAAGTACGGAAATTCACTGGCGTGGACGAGCTCGCCTGCTCACTTTATCGCCAAGCGTCGATCGCTCTGGGAGGTGGGATCGGTGCGGTATTCACGCGGCTTATTTAATGTGTGGGTTGGACGGGAGACTTGACAGATGTACGGTGTGTACAGTCGAACTTCCAGGAACTAGCGACGGCGGCAAACAGCATCGCAACGGTGGGAGCCAGGGAAAGACGGCATGTGGGTCGGCCCACCAACTGCATTTATTCCGCCAGAGGCAGGCGCGGGATGTTTCAATCGATCCCCAAGTCGAAATCAAGATAGCTCGGCAGGGGCAGAACGCCGGCGAGCGTTTCTGCAAGTACCGGAATCACAATGTAAAGCGGTTTTGTTTGGAGAATTTTTGTTGCATTATTCTTCTGATCTGCTCAAGACCTCACTTTTCTTCGTCTCTTTTCTTTGAATCAACGATAGCCATCAGCTGGTGGATGCGACTTCTATGTGGCAGCAAGCCTACGCCGACTACCTCGCCTCTCTTGGCCCAGCTACGTCCAGGAGCAAGTCGGCCAAGCGGTGGGAGCTCAAGGTCTGCAGCCGCCGCACGCATCGGATGGGCAGCAGAACGTCGTGCCCGAGGGTTCCCAGGTCGCATCTTCCGTCAGCGCCGCCGCAGGGGACATGGTCGCTGCGCCCCCAATTACAGGGCGCCAGGGAACCATTGCTGTCGACGCTTCGTCCATAAATCTGGTGGCATCCGTCGCTAATCTCGTGATTGGCGTGGCCAATCTTATACTGCTTGTGGCCGCGATTATGATGCGCGTGCTGAATTAGGTGTGAGGATTTAACTGGAGTATCATGTAGTAGCTCGTAGTAAATGGCGTATGTACTGTCCCTCTAAATTGAGTTTTATGGTGTGTGTGTGTGTGTGTGTGTGTTTAGCGGTCAAAGTAGCAAAGTGCGTGGAAGCAGTCATCTACTCCAGGATGTACATACAGTAGGCCTTCTGAATCTTTTGGATGGGCAGACCGGTGACATAATTTTTTGTTACAATTACACACAAACAATGTTGTTTTTTCACTGTGGTTTTGTGGTTTCAAGGATAAATATGGATATCTGACAAATCTAGATTAAATGTATTTTTAGTCAATATTGTTTTCCAAAATAGAAATGAAAAACATTTTTTTTGGATTTTGTCATTTTGCCTATCTTTTCCAGGTGCATATCAATGAGCCCAAGCTTAGAATTGGCCGGTCATTTTAATTTTTCGGACGGTAGTCTGGCGTGATTTTTTCTAGTCGAATTTGAAGAATGTCGACTTTTACTGTGTTTTTGTGTTGTACAGTCACAGACGCCCTGATAAATGTCAGAAGTAGACGGCTGATCTATTATTAGTCTTGCAAATCTTGCGACCTCTTTTCAGATGGAGCGTCAGACACTACTCTCATGGGTTGCCAGTTGCTAGGCCCAGCTGAAATACAAGAGAAAGTTTGCCACTGATCACGACATTGGTTATAGAGATGCAGATAGACGGCAATGGTGCTAGTGAGTGTGTAAATGCTAAATGACAACCTCCCAGCTCGTGACTGTAATGTAGCATACAAACTATAAAGACAGTTTTGCTAATTGTACCTTCGGATGGAGGAGGCGCATCAGCAAGAGCAGTTGCAAGTATGTTTGGGATTTCCATTTGCTGCTGGAGATGTGATCTGGGCAGGGCAGGTGCCTGTGGCAACTGCATGTTTATTCAGAAGTTTCAGCTATATGCAAGGCTAGATTCATCATCAGATTATACTATTTGCAGACATTTTTAGTACTTTCACACAGGTGCGAGACATTTGTCCATGTAAATTTTCAGGCGTACTGAATTTAGGTGTTGAGTACATATTGCCATGTTTTTAAAAAGTTTTTTTGTTTGTTTCAGGGGTGTTCAAAGCTAAAGATAAGGCAATACAAGGTTTACCCGCTGCCAACAAGTCGATGCCATGTGTTGTTTTGCATTCAGCTGCTCTTGGACTTGCATCCCGGAGTGGTCCATTATTGCCCGTGTCAGGAACAAGATTGTCTGCCAAGATAGGAATACAAGTTTGGGCTTTTGCAAGTCAATTGGTTGATTCATTTTTGCAGTGTGATTCCCATCGACAGCATGCTCATCGAGTGTGTTACGATGACTGGTATTCTCACGGAAGGAGAAGTAGTGGTTCCAGCTGATGTTTCCATCGTTGCTGCATGCACAGCACCACCATCATCATTGTTTACTGCGGGGCCATCTAAGCAAAAGCCAGGCCAGCAAGTTAGCAAAAAACAGTTGAAATGGTATAATCACTATATTTTTGAGTGTTGATAATCTAAGGTACCTGCACACTGACGATCAAGACGAGCACAAATGGCACGTTGAGAGCGACTAATAGTACTGTGCTCTGCTTGCTCCTGTTGACCATAACAGATTCCGTATGCGGTTGTCTTCATCTGGCTGCACTCTGTAGTACAAACCCAGAATCTTTGGATCCCAGCTCAGCAAAAACTTCCATTGTCTTCCTGACATCATCATCCGCCTGACCTCGGCTGATTTCTCAACAAAGCCCCCTTAACGCTCTTTTGCTGAAAGGCACATTGCTCATTGAACCAAAGAAACTATCAATAATGTTGTACACTTTGCTGATGCTGATATTATTTTCACGGAGCTGCTTGCCAAGGTCACGTGTATATATGTCGATATGTTTGTGCGAGGGCCAGTATAGTTTCTCACCACACTTATCTGTAAGAGAGTGATTGTGGAATGTCATGTGCTCACTTATGTACCATCCAATGTCCTTTGAACGGAGTAACCGTATCATTGTTGGGCACCTACATCGGTAAGACCGGGTGTTATTTCTTTCCGGGACCCCCTGCAAAATATTTTGTGAGAAATAACAATATGTGAGTTTCGTTTTTATGGTCACAAGCATCACTCTCATACATATGATGGTGAATAAAAAAATGATACTAACCGAGCAGCTGCAAACTATATCCTGCATACATTTTATTCTCTCGACGTTCAGTCGCAAACTATCTCCGGAGTAGATACTTGAGATCAATCTTTTTTCAAAATAAAAATATGAACCATGTGCATTTTTTTGTTAATATTATTCCCGGCTAACTAAATAGATATTTTTAGATGCTAGTACATGTCACCCATCACTCCTATGGTAATAGTGTCATATACCAATTGTAGAAAGTTGGCAGCATAAATGGTCAAAAAAATATGTATTTTCCTATGTATGTAATTTGCACATTTACTTTTTTTTTCCTTTTGTCTACATGCATTATACTTGCACAGTGCTATTCTTTGTCACTTTTGTTGCTTCAGAGATGAAATTTCCAAACTATTCGAATGTGTTAGTCTGAATTCCCTAGGTTCGTACTAGCATCTCACATGAAGGAATGTTTGTTTTGTAGCCGCACCTCCATTTACGCAATCGCCACCATAATTCCATAATGAGTTAGACCAAGACACAAAGGGTGGATTCCATATTGTGTCTCCATCAGGGAAGCCATGAAAAATATCTTCACTGTGAGTGCATCGCCCATCACCAATGCTGGATTCAGCGGCCATGCATACCAGAGTTTGGTTGCCTTCGCCGTCCAGCAAGGATTCGGCGGCCGCGAGATCTGACAGCGGCCAACACCGGAAACAAAAAGCGGCGGCAGCAAAACATAAGAGTACCTGTTAACCCGATCAGATAGGAACTCGAATCCATCGCCTCCGGCCTCCGCCGTCGCCATAGCTCTGAGCTCTCACCTCCCACCTCCGCCATCGCCATAGCTCTGAGCTCCTCGCCTCGTGCGGCGCCGGAAAGGATAGATTTGTTTTTTTTCCTCCTCAGCGTCGCCTGTGGGGATTTTTGTTTTTCCTTCGTGGGCTGTTTGCGCGTCGGCCCGTAGCTGACGACAATCGTTATGTACAGCCATCCGAGACCTGTACCAACGGAACAAATGCACGATCGACCGTCCACCCAGCGTTAGGTTACACGGAGCCGTCGCCGTATGACACTGTTGGACAGGGCGTATCCGTCGTCCCTCTATACGATCGCATTCGATACAAGCTGGAACGCGTCGCTGTTCGATTGGTAGGCGCAACGGGAGCAGGCGAGCTCGTCCATACCATCGCCGCTCTCGAGACAAGTATATGTACAGTGATGCACTGTATACAATATTATGATGTTGTAGTTATGCTACATTAAGATATTACAACCGAACTGTACGTACAAGTCAGGATGGCCGAGTGGTCTAAGGCGCCAGACTCAAGTTCTGGTCCTCTAACGAGGGCGTGGGTTCAAACCCCACTTCTGACAATTGTTTTTGCTTTTTTCCTTGCTTACTTTTTTCCTTGCTTAAATTTACTTCAACAATTACATCAAACCCCACTTCCGACAATTGTTTTTGCTTTTTTCCTTGCTTAAATTTTTGCTTTTTTCCTTGCTTAAATTTACTTCAACAATTACATCAAACCCCACTTCCGACAATTGTTTTTGCTTTTTTCCTTGCTTAAATTTTTGCTTTTTTCCTTGCTTAAATTTACTTCAACAATTACATCAAACCCCACTTCCGACAATTATTTTTGCTTTTTTCCTTGCTTAAATTTACTTCAACAATTACATCACTTTTTCTGACAAAATTTTCTCTTTCGCGAGA